TTTCTACAGAATCAAAATTACCCTGTGTAGTAACTGGTGAAACCCGAAGAGCACAACCATCCTCAGGTTGCGGAATTGAAAAATCTTCAATAATTATGAGTAGGATGCAGATTAAACAGGAAAATTATCAATTTTAGGATTAGTAGAAAGCAAAGAATTTTCAGGGATTTTAGAAATCAAAACATCAGCATATGATTTTGAAGAAACTTGAGGATATTTTTGAGATTGTTTTGTCTTGTGTGTTCAGGACATCTAGAATCTGTGGCTTTGTGGTTACCTGAGCAAAATAAGCAACGAAAAGATCCATTATCTTTGTCGCAAGAAGAAGAGGAGTGATCACCTCCACATTTTGAGCATCTTGGCTTGGAACGACATAAATCTTTAGTATGTCCAAATCTGCAGCACTGAAAGCATTGGATCGTTGGAAGCTTATAAATTTCAACAGGAATGGAAGAATATCATAAATAAACCCTCGAGGAAAGAATTTGACCGTCAAATGTGATTACGACACTTTCAGAGCTTTCATATCTGACTTTGACCTCGTTGCGAACTCGGTAATTTAATCTTCTTACTTTACTACTACAGGAATGGTATATTGTCGCGCGCCTAAGTTGACGTCTGGTACCTGGCACTAGCGCCATCTAGTGTCGGGTAACAGAGCGAGGAGACCTGTCCAGAAAATGCCATGACTAATCTTTCAACTAACAGCGCCATCTAGTATCGAATTGGAGAACTAAGCTTTCTAGAAGGCACAAACTCGAACTTTCTGCGTCTGGTCGGTCGGCGCCCGTATCTACGGGAATATTCTGGATGTTTCGGTGTAAACGTGTATTTAAACCCGCTGCATGCCACGATCGGGGCAGTATTGAATTTGGCGAGACAACTTTCAAGTTTTAATTAGTGTAAAGTGAATTAAAGTGTTAATTTTGGTAATTCAATCGGCAGTTTTTATTGTCACGAACTCTAAGCTCGTAATAATATTTACTATACTATCTTGGAATGCTTTGTAAAAACTAAATATTTGAATCTCACTGAACAAGAAAAAAATGAAGCACAAAATATTTTAGACGCTAGGGAAGGGAACTAAAATATTAAACCTTGACTTCTCGAGTGAGCAGAAACATTAACGGTTGCAACATTATACGTTGGTGGAATGGTGCCAAATCTGATCAGAAAAAAGAGCGAAATAGAAGAACTAAAAGAAGAACAGCTGAACAGTTTCTACTTAAAGTGTAAGCAGTTTTATATGGAGTCTGCAAAACGGATATTAAAAAGATGCTAAATTCTACAGCAATTCTGGATCCTGAAATAAAAAAGAAATTCCCTTCCATTGCAGATTTACATTATTTCTTCCCAAAGATTTGTCCAAATAATACAACGGAACTGGATAGAGAATGGCGAGTGTTAAGAAATGTCGATTTTTCTTTCAACCAAAACAAAACTCCCAATATTATCGACTTTATGAAACTGGAGACGAATCGCAAACATTTCCTACATTGTGTGAATTGGCAAAAAAGTTTTTGTGCCTACCACATAGCAGCGCCGCCATGGAAAGGTTATTTTCTGCTATAAATATTATGAAAACAAAATTACGCAACAAATATCGACTACAGCTATTAAAGTTACAGTCTATACAGGATGTATGATATCTCACTGCTGAAAATATCCAGAGCGCTACTGAGAAAGCATCCTCTGAATGTAAATTTATTAACTGATTGACAGCATTGTTTTCGTTACATACGTTAATTTTTTATTTTATTTATCGTGGAATTGTGCAGGTGATTTAACCTCCTTGTTCAATGCTTCAGAAATTTTGTTGATTTTGTTTGAAATACTGAACGTAGCTATCTACATCTTTGTAGTAACGTAATAATAATAGTTAAGAAATGAAATACTCGGTTTAAACATGGTGATCATAACATTTTGTCTACAAATCTGACTTGGCAGTTACCATATTAGTGATGGTATCATGTGACGGTAGCTTTGCTATGTTTTGTCACAAGCAAAGGTTGTCACTTTCAATCTAAATTTTTAACCGATTACGACGATCCAAAGAAATGGTTCTGTACTTGACATTATATGTATGTATGTACCTATAGATGTTTCACCTTAGCAGCCATTTAGACCAATTTCACCAAATAAGTTTTCAATCAATTCATCTTTAACAAAAGTTAAGGAAAAGAAAATTCAAATCTATATTATTTTACTGCATTGTCGAAATTAATAATATTATTACTCTCAATATTTTTCATAATTTCAACTGTGTAATAGGTGTAAGTGTGTAATAGGTAGGTTGTCATTTTTAATGATTATGTTTTCTGTTGTGTTATTGTGGCAAAAATTATAATTTTTATATCTGATCGTAATATAATAATGATGATGACTAATTAAAAAGCGAATACTTTTTAAAATTATCATGAGAAACGTCATTTTTTATCTATACTATAATTGACTAGCGATCCGCCCCGGCTTCGCACGGGTGATTTCTGCATCTTGACAACAGCGCCACCTACCGAGTCCAATTTTCTTTAAATTTATATAGTAACTAGCGATCCGCCCCGGCTTCGCACGGGTGATTTCTGCATCTTGACAACAGCGCCACCTACCAAGTCCAATTTTCTTTAAATTTATATAGTAACTAGCGATCCGCCCCGGCTTCGCACGGGTGATTTCCGCATCTTGACAACAGCGCCACCTATCGAGTCCAATTTTCTTCAAATTTATATAGTAATTAGCGATCCGCCCGGATTTCGCACGGGTGATTTCTGCATCTTGACAACAGCGTCACCTACCGCGTCCAATTTTCTTTAAATTTATATAGTAACTAGCGATCCGTCCCGGCTTCACACGGGTGATTTCTGCATCTTGACGACAGCGCCACCTACCGAGTCCAATTTTCTTTAAATTTATATAGTAACTAGCGATCCGCCCCGGCTTCGCACGGGTGATTTCTGCATCTTGACAACAGAGCCACCTACCAGATCCATTTGGATATAAACCATCTAGGGACCAATTTAAACACACAAAAAATTTCATAAAAATCGGCTGGATGGTTTCAAAGTCTATAACGGAAAAAGGTAGAAACATTGTTTGCGATTTATAGAGATAGATTTAAAATATTTTGGAGTCGAGTATTTTTGTTTGATATTTTAGATTTTGTCTAAGAAATTATATCAAAAAGATTTAAATAATAAAATTAAGTAAAGTACGTAATTAAGAATTTTTGACAACCTTGCTTGTAAATTTTGCTCTTTGCAGCACAACTGAAGGAGCAAACCATAACTCTGAGTGTTGTGTATTATATTAAGGGGATATAGTAAGTCAGCTCAAATTCTAATTTCGCCCCCACTTCCCCGCGCGTCGTAGGCTATGTACCGACATGTTTGTAATCACTAATACTGTAAGTAGATAGGTCGTTAGATACTTATTTCATTAGGTTTATCATATTTATGCCTATTTCTTAACGCCAACCCAGTCGCTTCTTATTTTTATAACGGTTATTTCCCATTTTAATTTTACGTCGTCCTGTTGCGTAATGTGTATTCTGATCGTAAGCGACACAACTTCTCCCTTGAAAAGCCGGAGCGCTACTAACGGGGTGACAGGAATGAAGCTTACGCGCCGATAGTTTAGGAAATTTCTTTTTACATAAAACATAAACATAAACACTCACGCCTGTCACTCAGAGGGGTAGGCAGAGACTACAGACTTCCATTTAGCACGATCCTGACATACCTTTCTCGCCTCTTCCACATCCATATACCTACGCATACATGCTCGTCGGTTAAGGGTACTCTTAATTTGGCCCATTTTAGTATATCGTCAATTTGGTCGAAAAACTTCCGCCTAGGACGTCCCTTTCCGACACTTCCATTCACTTCTGCAACATATATTTGCTTTGTCAGTCTTTCCGCATTCATTCTTTCTACATGAACAAACCACCGAAGCATTCCTTTCTTAATCTTGGTCACTGCATCTTCTTGCAAACCACACTCTTCTTTTATCACACAGTTTCTCACCCTGTCACTCATATTCAGCCCTAACATACTCCTTAGCGACCGCATTTCTACTGCATTTATTCTACTCTCGTGCTTCTTCTACCACACCCAATTTTCACTACCATACGTTAAAGTAGGTAATATACAGCATTGTGAATTTCCATACGTGCCTTTTTTGACATATTCTGACTTTTCTCAATTATCTATAAAAAATATATATATATATATATATATATATATATATATATATATATATATATATATATAATTAGCACGGCTTTATAGTTAGTTCGGTTAGTATGGAAAGTTTCATGATCTAATTTAAAGTATTTTATGAATAACAGTGGTTTATTGCTCAGTTTTGAGGTAACTTTGGATTTTTTTCTATCGAGAAAATTTTACGGAACCGTGTTTTCGTTTAACATAGTCCTTAACATTAATCCTCATCTTTACCATATATTTATTTCAAAATGAATGCTGCAATGCTTTCGGCATAACGGAGGATCTTGCTAAGCCATTTGAGGCTATATTTCCCCTTAAGAGGTAAACTTACTTTCACGATGTGACCAACTACGCTTCACTTCACAAGACCAAATTGGCCTTTCACTTATTTCAAACAGTGTTAGAATATCAAAATGTCATAAGTCAGGAAAACGTAAAGGATCTTCTATATAATCTTCAGGTATTATAAACAAATCTGGAGGTATATTTTCACAAAAAATCAAATTTTTGAAAGGTTATTTTTGCTGTAACTGTTGGCAAAATGGATATATCTATTTTGACTGGAAATCCCTTAGGTAACTTCATAGCTACAAATTGCCGCAATTTAGCAAAGTGCTTAAATGGTGCTATCACTTCCAAAACATTAAGTAACATATCCACACTTAAAGGGAATTCATCACTCATGGCAGTAGTAGCCCGGAAGTTTCTAGATGACTCCTTTTAAACAAGCTCCCGACCCAAGTTTGGATACCGTCCAGGAGGAGATGATATGTATGTTTGCTAGTGTACTCCACTTTCAGGTGGAGGGTTCAATGATGCATGGCGAGCTGGCTCTCCATTTGTGTCCAAGTTCTGTGTATTATCTTTTGTTAAACTTTCTATAATTGCTTTATTTTTCTGCAAATCATCTGTAGATAAATGTTCTCTTCTTTTACGAGATTATAATACTAACCCAGTTATAGTGTAAATATCACTTTTATATAGGCTAGCAACAGTTTCTTTAAGATCTTCACAGAATATCTAACCTGACTGTGCCCTTGAAAATAAAATACCTTTAGTAGACATCTGTGCAGCAAGAATATCACTTGACATCAAAATGTCTACTTTATCCTCAATTTCATTTTCAGTTTCTTCATAACGCACTCTCTGATATACTTTAGCTTTATTGTCTAAAACAGTTAACGCCTCACTTTGTGGCTTTTCCCCTTGAAAAATAAAAGAAATATCACCTCTTTCCCATTTCATATCTGTAAAGTCGACTAAAGTTGTGTCTAATCTGATTCAAGAGCCACTTTATAAGTTTTACATACATCAGATGATAATATCCTAGAAACTAAAGGTACTCATGAATGAAAATCCCATTTTAGTTCCATATAAAAATCTTTTATTTTAGCTAGGGCTTTAATAAGGTCAGGTCTCCTGCGATCCATTTGCTCTCTAGCTTGCTGTTTAAGTTTTCGAACAAGTGATGAAATAGTCTGCCGATCGCCATAACTAATTGCCTCTGCTAGAGGCGACCAGCTAGGTTCTTCACTTTCACCGGTGCACCATGTGCAAGGAGGAGTTGTACACATTCTTTTCGACCTAACATAACGGTCAAGTGCAGTGCAGTGTTACCATGTTTATCTTTTTGAGTAATATCATGGTATCTGAGTAGTGATGATAGTTTACGAACGTCGCCCACAAAAACACATCCATGTAGAGGAAAGGAGTCGTATTCTTTATTACAAACAGAGCTAGACATTGCGTACGTGTAGGTCTTATTTAACCATCACTTATATTAGTTATTAATTACGCAGGATATCTAAATAGACCGGATTTGAAATTTGATCAAAGTGATAAGATTAGTTTTAGTGAAATTAACAATATTGTACCCATATCTTTGGCTGATTTCTAATGAAATTTAAGTTCCATTTCAAATATTTCATGTCACTGGGTGGTCTGGAAAACTTACAAAATATGTTTAATACCCTCGTACTCTAACAGAATCTGCATTTTAATTACAAAAAAATTTGGTCAAAATAATTCACTATTTTACATCGAACTGTTGCAACCTTGAAGTCAAATCCTATTATTTTTCATCATAAATCCTGATGACAAATTTGCCACAAACTAAGGTTAACTTTGCCATTTTCTACTTTTGAGTGTTTTTCTATTTAATGTTAATGTTTGTTTAAATCACTAATAAATACCAAATCTATAAAGAATATAGTGTAAATTTTAACACCGAGGCCCAATCTGGGATTACCTTTTATGTAAGAAAATTAGTCCTAAAATGTTAAGTCGTTCAAAAAGTGGCAAAGTTGCCAGGCTTCATATCAATGTTTAGATGTGACTACTGCATTTATGCGGGAGCAAAGCAAACATTCGAAGAACATTTTAAACTTCAACTATACTTGACCACTGACTGAGATATGTTGACATCAGATATTCGATAAAATTATTATAAATTAAAATAAATCTGTGAGCGGGTTGTTGGTACTTATGAATGAGAACATTTATTTAAATGATTTTTCATATAGTAACTTAAACTCAAGCTTTTATTATTTTATAAATGTAATCAAAAATTCCAATAAATTAAGCTTTCAATAAGAAGGAAAAGCTGACGTCAAACTAAATAAAATAATAAAATAATTTCACATTTTGAACAGGGTTCAACATCCGCAAGTCTAACACATAAATTATTTATTTTGCAGATAATTTCGGCGTTTATGGTTGGGGTGTACAGTTACTCTGTTCACCATGAGATTGGTCTCAAAATGGTGTACCACGGTACGAAAAGCAAGCTGGAAGATGCAGTGTGCGTTGGCATTTATTGCGTAGAGATCGTGATGAACATGTTGCTGGTTTACGGAGCCCATGTGGTAATTTCTAATTTGTATGAAGCATAGATTAACGCGAATTGGTGGTGTAGGAATATCCACTGTCTCTTATCATCCCGTTTGTGTGTGAGAGGCGAAAGAGGGAAACAAAACAGGAGAGGGGCAGCAGCATCTTTCTAATTACGACTAAAAACTGAAGTTGCCAACCCGCTTGCCAACCGTGGCAACTACGGCAAATATACCCCTATGAGTTAATCTATGGGGGAGCCCTATGTTCAGTAGTGGACCTTAATCGGCAGTTACGATAACCATGAAGTCTACTACTTCTCAGTTGATGAAAAGAAAAAAAAATTGTCAGTTGAAATAAATTGCCATTATACTTGCGTAGAGAAATCTACCAAATAACACTGTTTCGTTACTGTTTAATTACCGGAGAGATTAATAATAAAGAGATTTTGTTTTACCGTATTTATGATATACAATTTATATTTGTTTTTATGACAAATATCTCAATTACTTTTAAAAATATTTCGGAATTCAAATAATATGTTCTCAAAATTCAAATGTAAAGGAAGAACAGTGGTTTCGAAACCTATTTCGTGGTCTGTATTGATTGCGACGTTATACGAGTTTATGGTACATACATTACACTTGAACGAATTAACCACCCGATCAAGACATTACATTATTACATAATATAGGAATAAGTGTGTACAAGCTTAAGCTATTTTACTTTTTTTTGAATACCTTGAATCTTAAGTTAAAAATATAAAGATATGCAAACCGCTATTTATAAAGTTGACACATTCTTTTTATTGGGTTATAAAGGGACATATTTATTTTTATGAGTTTGCAAGTAAATTGTCTTGCTACGAATTCAATGATTGCGCTTGTTGTTAAGTTTAATTTACTTGATGAGGTAATCGAAATCGATCTTGTTATGGAGAGTTTTATATAAATACATAAGGTTAAATTCTTTGTGGCGAATAAGTAAGGAAGTCACTTTTAACTTTGTCGAGTCTCTCAATGTAATTAACGAAATTGCAGTTAAGTTTTCTAAGACTTCTTTTTGGATGTTTACCGTACTATCCGAATGGATCGTGCAGTTGAAAGACCAAATGACACAAGCATATTCTAGAATGCTACGGACAAGGCTATAAAAGATGGTCAGGAAACCTAGTAACTGGAATGCTTTGTATTTCTGAGTATTGTACGCATAGACCTCACAAAATGTTAATTTAGAGTCAAACACGCCGTGTAGTGGCGGTTGAGAATATCCACTACCCCATATCTTCCCGTGAGTGTCGTAAGAGGCGACAGAGGGAGACAGGCAGGAGACGGGCAGCAGCATCTTCCTGATAACAGCAATGATATAATAAAAAACTGCGGTTGCCAACCCGCTCGCCAAGCGTGGCAACTATGGCAAATATCCCCCCATGAGTAACGACGCAAACAAACGGCCCCCAGTCCCCGGCGGCCCCGCTATTCCTGGCTACGGTGGCGACCATGGTAACGGCGGGGCAGGCGGTGCTAAGAATCTCCGGTGGAGGTTCAGTTGCCACCTACGACGACTCGACCTGGCAACATATAACGCACGCACCCTGAGGACTGACGGGAAGATACTGGAGTTGGAAGAAGAGGTAGACAAGTTGCGATGGCATATTATTGGGTTATCCGAGGTCCGAAGAGAGAGGGAGGACACGGTAATCCTCGAGTCCGGCAACTTGTTCTATCACCGGGAGGGCGACCATCTGTCCCAAGGAGGTGTCGGATTTATCGTCCACAACGTTGTAAAGATTGGGAGTGTGTCGACGACAAGACAAGTCTCTCGTCAACAACGTTGTGAATTGGGAGTGTGTCGACGAGGGTCGCGTACCTGATACTCAGAATCACCAAACGGTATTCGCTGAAGGTCATACAGGCTTACGCACCAACCTCGGCACATCCCGATGAGGAGGTGGAGGAAATGTATGAGGATATTTCCAGAGCCATGCATTCCTCCAAAACCCACTACACGGTGTTGATGGGAGACTTCAACGCAAAACTAGGAACAAGAGAAAGCGGTGAGCTGAAGGTAGGGAAATTTGGAGTAGGGCAACGGAACCGTAGGGGCCAGCAGCTGGCCGACTTTATGGAGAAAGAGGAACTCTTTATGATGAACTCTTTCTTCCAGAAGCGGCCCCACAGGAAGTGGACCTGGTCGAGCCCCGACGGTTCGACAAAAAATGAGATTGACTTCATTATCACGACCAGACGCCAACTGTTCAGTGATGTCTCAGTGATCGCAAGGGTGAAAACGGGCAGCGATCACCTAAGGGTTAGAGGCACACTGAACCTAAACGTTAAGTTGGAGAGGTCTCGTCTAATGAAGTCAACGCTCCGTCCCCCTCGTGCTCTAATCCAGAATCCCGAAACCTTTCAGCTCGAGTTACGTAACCGCTTTCAGTGCCTAGAAGATTGCAATGCAGTGGACGATATGAATGACAAGCTCGTGGAAACTGTCCATGCGGTCGGAGCTAAGTTCTGCAAGACCGGCCGCAGAAGAACACAAAAGCTCTCCGATCACACTCTTAATCTCATGGCTATTAGACGGGAGATGAGGCTGCAATCGTCAACAGCATACAGGCAACTGAACAGACAGATCTCCAAATGCATGCGGCGAGACTTACGCAAATTTAATACTGCTCGTATTGAAGAAGCGATTGAGCGGAAACAGGGCTCCAAAGTCTTTGCCAGAGATCTGTCTGCCAGTAAGAGCCAACCGTCAAAGCTGAAGACTGAGTGTGGCAGCATCGTTTCCGGGACACCTGAGATTCTGAGTGAGATTGAGAGGTTCTATGGGCAGCTGTACACATCATCGTTGGAGCCACACGCAAGTATGAGTAACGATCCAAGAGCGGGTCTTATCCGACACTATTCCGATGATATCCCGGACGTCAGTCTGAGCGAGATTAGAATGGCTCTCCAGCACCTTAAAAACGGCAAGTCCCCGGGCGAGGATGGAATTACAGCTGAGCTTCTGAAAGCGGGTGGAAAACCGGTACTTGAAGTCCTTTAGAGGCCTCTTTAATTCCGTCCTCCATGGTGGCACTACTCCGGAGGCGTGGAGCAGATGTGCGGTGGTCTTGTTCTTCAAGAAAGGTGACAACGCCCTCTTGAAGAACTACAGACCGATATCCCTTCTGAGCCGCGTCTACGTGCTGTTTTCGAGAGTCATTACGAATCGTCTCGCACGCAGACTCGACGACTTCCAGCCTCCTGAACAATCCGGTTTCCGAAAAGGCTTTAGCACCATAGACCACATACATACCCTTCGGCAAATTGTACAGAAGTCTGAAGAGTACAATCTGCCACTGTGCCTTGCGTATGTGAACTATGAGAAAGCATTTGATTCCGTTGAAACTTGGACGGTGCTACAGTCTCTTCAGCGGTGCCAAGTTGACTGTCGGTATATCCAAGTGCTGAAGTGTTTGTACAGTAGGGCTACGATGGTTATCCGAGTACAGAACCGGAGTTCGAAACCTATCCAAATGCAGAGGGGTGTAAGACAGGTTGACGTTATTTCCCCGAAACTCTTCACCGCTGCATTGGAAGACGTTTTCAAGCTACTGGACTGGAAAGGATACGGTATTAACATCAATGGCGAGTACATCACTCACCTTCGATTTGCCGACGATATAGTCCTTATGGCAGAATCGCTGGAGGACTTAAGTACTATGCTCAATGACCTCAATAGTGCCTCCCAACGGATAGGTCTTAAGATGAACATGGACAAAACAAAGATCATGTTTAATGTCCATGTCACACCTATGCCGGTAGTTGTTGGTAGCACTAAGCTCGAAGTTGTTGACGAGTACGTTTACCTGGGACAAATAGTCCGGCTAGGTAAGTCCAACTTCGACTGAGAGGTCAATCGACGGATTCAACTCGGCTGGGCAGCGTTCGGGTAATTACAACGCATCTTCTCGTCAGGTATACCTCAAAACCTGAAAACTAAGTTGTACAACCGGTGCGTGTTGCCAGTGATGACATATGGAACTGAGACGTGGTCCTTCACTGCTGGCCGTATGAGGACGCTCAAAGTCGCTCAGCGAGCTATGGAGAGGGCTATGCTCGGAGTTTCTCTGCGTGATAAACTTAGAAATGAGGATATCCGCAGTAGAACCAGAGTGACCGACATAGCCCAACGGATTAGTAAGCTGAAGTGGCAATGGGCCGGCCATATAGCTCGAAGAACCGACAACCGTTGGGGAAAAAAGGTTCTCGAGTGGCAGCCTCGTACCGGTAGACGAAGTGTGGGGCGACCCCCCACTAGATGGAGTGACAACCTGGTAAGACATGCAGGAAGTCGATGGATGCAGGTGGCTCAGGACCGCGCTTTGTGGCATACCTTGGGGGAGGCCTATGTTCAGCAGTGGACTTGTAAAGGGCTGTAATGATGATGATAATGATGAGAGTCAAACAAGACAAAAAGCTAGGACTAAAAAGCTAAAGAGCTAGGCGTGTACCGAGGTCTTTAGCTTTTCCTGTCTAACGAATGTTCGTTAATTCTATAGTCATAAGTCTGTTTATATATCTTATTAGTTAACGTTGTAATGAAACATTATAAATATTCCTAATAATTATTTTTAAAGAATAGGGTGACAAACGAGTAAACAGTTCACCTGGTAAGTAGTTGCTGTGGCCCACAGACATCTACATCTATCCTCTATTACGAATCAAAATGCAGATGCGTTGTCACCCGTGAGGACTAAGATGGAATGCCTCGTTTTCAGTAAAAAGAGTCTACGGTTCTCTACACTCACCATACGAAACACAGCAGCATTTAGCTACTATTTTACGCTGGTATTCTGTGAGACCGTGGTCCTTTCCCGGTCAAGCCGACCCATTCTTGCTACAACTATACTACTAATATTTTTTTATATAACTACTAATATAATTGCAGCATAGCTCTACCACGTATAACTGCAGCTTCATTCATTATCATCATCACCAGAATAGAGAACTTGAGGGGGGGCCTCTACTGCTTTGGGGGGAATTACCTAATCATCACTCTTAGCAGGCGGATTGTTGATCGTAGTACAAGATGTGACCTTCTCGTTGTGCTGTTTCTCATCATCAAACTAAGTATTTTAGTAGTCTAGTAGTTATGCCGCTATCTATCGATCTCGTCGTGATATCTTTTGCCATTTTGTATAGTACGATACACATAGGTCAAAGGAAGAAATGAGGTGATGGCTTCTAGCCACCGCATCGTCACACGGCGATTTTATTTAAAAAATTTAAACTTTTTTAATGATAGGTCCTGGTCATAGGACTTTGTTGTTAGTGTATACATGGATCAATGAAGCAATTACTGACTTTGGAGTTGAAATCGAAATAGGGTGATGTGTTCTCTATACCGCTACACCGCTAGCGTACAGTACTTTAATTTGCTTAGTTCTTAGAAAATTTATTACTAATAATTTTTCACAAGATTATGCTACAAGATACGGCTGTCCAATTCGAGAGACATGTCGGTTAGGTTCCCGATCGTAGTGCCATAAGGCAGCCCTTGAAGTTGCGCTGCTTTGCAAATTTGGGTGTTTTATATCTAGATTATAAATAAGACATTTAAAAAGTCATCTGCTGGAGGTAGTTACTCTAAAAATAAATCCCGTGTATTTTTTTAATAAAGAATTTGTATGACAAACGAGCACACAGTCCACCTGATCAACTTGCAGATGCATTGTCACCCCTGAGTACTGAGATGGAATGCCTCGTTTATAGTAAAAAGGGTCTTCGTTACCCTACACTCACCACACGAAACACACCAGCAATAAACTGCTATTTTACGCTGGTATTCTGTAAGAGCGCGGTCCTACCCTGGTCGAGGTAATCCAATCGTGATACAATCATAATATAGCTATGGCGTGGCTCTACCACATTAAAAATATTTTAATGGATCCTTTAACCCATGGCAAATAATATAGTACTCTCTCTTAGTGGTACCCACTTAATATTAATATTATGTTTTTGTTTGTTTCAGAGAAATTTATTATTTTTAAAATCTTTCTACTTTTACGCAATAGCAACTACGCTTATGACATTAATTCTGGAAATTATTACTTTAGCGAGTTCTCGCTACTTTGGATTTATGGTTATGGGAGAAATACTAGCTGTGTACATAACTGGGCAATGTAAGTAACGACCTATAGTGATCCTTTCCTAATATAAATAACGTCACTCAAAGAAAATCTAATCAATATCTCTCCAAGGCCATAAGAAATTTTATAAATTTTTCACAATCGTCCTTTTTACGACAACCACTATATTATTGATTGTGTGGCGTTCTGTACCACAGGACTGTCAAGTCAATTTTACAGTGATAAAGGCAATTTTATTACGTGGTGGAGCTTCTTATTGTCGCTACGAACCCTCAAAAAGACCATCATCTCACTTATTTTCATTGCAAGGCGACACTGCTCAATAACATTGTGTTGCGGATTGAATGAAGGGTAAGAGAGTAAGTCTAATTGTAGTCTAGAGCATTGCAGCAGTGTTTGTTTGTTTGAAGTTTTTTTAAATTCCCACTAAGAAAATTGAGAATTTTCAAAAATAGGGAAGTTATTGGTTTCACCCCGACTTTCAAAAATCGAGTTTTCATCAGATCTCGACGCTTTGAGATCCCAGGAACCTATTCCGACTAATTTCACGTGGACGTCCGTACGGATGTATGTATGTAAGTGTGTGTGTAAGTACGTAAACCTTTCATAACTTTTGAACGTCTTAATCAATTGAGATGCGGTTTCTAAAGATCTAAATGTGGAATGGATTTGGTGATAATATGAACTGATTCGGACGAATTTTTGAGAAATCTCAAAAATAAACATTTTGAAAAACTGTTTTTTTTTTGGAATAACTTTTAAATGACTTTACCCATCGATTTCAAAAACTAATCAGCTATTAAACTTAAAAAATGACGTCGAGTAACGTTTTGTTAATAAAAATTGGTTCATTCGTTCGTGAGATATCGAAGGAGAAAGAATTTGAAAAAACTTTTTTTTAACATAACTGCGAGATTTCGCAACATAATTTGATGAAATTTGGAGCGCTTTGCATTTGAAATTAGCGGGAAGTTCCAGGGATGACCTGCAGGGTCAACCTATTTTTTTAAAAGTGACGAACGAACGTACAGTGCATCTGTCTAATGGTTAATGGCCAATGCAGTCCATAGACAACTGCAACCGTTTTCAAACAAAAAAGACTACAGATGCGTTGTTACTCATGAGGATTAAGATGGAATGTCTCACAGTCTGTGATTACAATAATCTTCAGATCGAAACACAGCGGTGCATGCAATGCTTCTGGGCGAGGCAAAGTTAGGAAAGTTGATGGTACATATCCAAACGGACTCCCAGGAAAAAAAACGGTGCTACCAATTAGTAGTGAGATTAGTTACATGTGTCTATCGGCTGCAGTGATCACTAGCCAATCATCATTATCATCTTCACAGTCCATCGAAAGTTCACTGCTGAACATAGGTCTTCTCCAAGGAATGCCATAAAGCACTGTATCCATTAGCTTCCTTCTTTTACTTATTTTCTTGAAATAATATAAAAAAGTAAATTAAAATAATTTTATTGTCCCTTTGGCCTAGTGATCGTAGAGGCGTCTACTGATCATGTGGTTCCGGTTTCGATTCCGATCAGGACAAAATCAGTTATTAGTTTTTTCTGTTAAGGCCGAATACGACGTGAATGACCTTGCTCGTTTCGCAGCAAGCCACGCGCCGCCAGTACCTACGCTTTGTTTATATAGACATGTATAATACCTATAATCAGAGCCGTACGGGCTTTGATTATATTCGACCGAGCTAGCTCAGATGCAGAGTAATGAACAACACAGAGAGCATTGCTTACTTCTTAAATAAATTTTTCTTATTTATAATATTAGTTCCTATAGATTATAAATTCTGTACTTTATTCGTTATAAAATATTGTACGAAAAGTTATTGAATTGATAACGATTTTTTTTCTTAATTGGTGCATCGTACGTTAAGAACCTCATATAACTGAAAATGTTTGTTCTTGTGAGCCTTACAAGATGCCGTAATGCAAATTGCATAAATAATAAAGAAAAAAAAAACTAAAAAGTCGGTGATTGCCCCATAGTGGGGATAGGTACTGTGTATGTAAATTCTCACAAGACTACTCCGACTGGTCAATCACTTCACATCCGAAGTATTTCGGCTTTTCTTAATTATGTACTTTTACCCCATGCTTTCTGACAATACATTGACTGACATTATTTGCGGTCTCTGTGCTTGTACTACTCTGTACATTCTTTTCCGACTGGGTCTTGATATTTACATTTTTAGTGTTTCTCACTTGAAACTAGAAAAGTATAAATGATCAGTTTGGCTAATGTAAATGAGTAAAAATGCAACCTATTAGGCAGCCTCAAACAAAAAATTACCTTACTAAATATAATTATTAACCTCAAAATACAACATTCGAGCAGCGTTCATGCGATAAACTCTCTTTGTTTTACCACTTAGGTAACATTTATTTCTTTTCCTACCCATATTTACATTTATAGACACTTAAACGCGTATAAAACAATAAATAACCGATTTTCGCTACAGACACACCGACTGTTGTTATCTTAGGTCACACGTCGAAGTGCCTGGTAATTTATTACGGCAAACTGTTATCTGGCATTATACGATATTATTATTAGGTGTTTTTAATTAAAACGAATTATGTTAATAAATAATATTTTGTATCGAAAATAAAGATAGCAGGTACCTTCGGAATCACAATACAAACATTTTTACGTAAAAAAATTTTTCCTAAATTAAAATTCACAGAGTTTTGGAAGAACAATAATTTTATATATCATTTCTTAACATTTTTTTTTATTTGTTGGTACATTCATTTATTTTAAAATTTTAAAATGACGGTGACCTTCTGAAGGACCCGAACAAACCTACAAAAATGTTTTAAAGCTTAGAATTACTTCAGGTCAAAGTTCTAGTCAAGAGAAATACATTAATTTTCGCCAGTTCTTTTCGTATTCGGCCTTAACAAATTTTCAGTAGCAGCACTCGCAAAGCCGTTGGTTCTACGCTTCATCTATCTCCAGTTGAGTTAGATTGCCGTTTCATCGAAATATAAGAGGGATTAGAGAGAAGATCTGTGCTTGCGCACACGCTCTTATACTATAATCTTGTCCTAATAAATTGTAGTAAATTGTAATAACTTGTAATAATCTTGTCCTGCGCATTTGGCTTGTATCCGTTGAGACTGGCCGTCGTGACCGAAATTTGGTCTGGAGGACGTTATTTTTAAAATATTTGATAAAGCTTCAGGTTAGTAATTATAGTTTTTATAATTTTTTTTCCAAATTTTATTTACTTTCAACAGGTATACACGTTTACCTGATAATCGTGGTGAGGAGTTTGCTGATTAAGTTGGAAATGTCAGACTCCCATTCATATGAGAATCAGCTTCAACAAATCGTCAGTGGTGAACTGAAGGTTGAAAGTAATGCAGTGTACCCAAGCACAGTGGTATCTAACAATGATGCGTAGCTTCACGCAAGAAAGTCATTACAACTAAAAAATACTTAAGATAAAAAATTACTTACATTTTACACCAACCATTTGAATACGTAACTTAAAGGATCATTTGCAATATCGTTATAAATCGTGTTAATGGGGTAACTAAATTTCTAGTGTGTTTCGAAAAAAAACCTTTTACTTCACCAATAGATGTCATATACAAGGTTATTTTGCAATAACCGGCCTAAGAAGAATCATTTATTAAAAAAAAAAAAACATTCCATCCTTTTTATCTTTTAAATTCAGAACACGTAGTAATGCATCATTTTAAACGATTTTACTTCACACGCACATATTTATAAAGGTCGATCTGTACGCAAAAACGTTGTTCACATTCAATTTGGGATAATTTCAAACAAGTCTCAAAAATTGCAATAACGGTATATCACTATTTAAATATTTGAACTTAAGTTTAAAATTTGGCTAATCTTTGAAAAATGATCCTGTATAAGTTAATAAAATATTTAGCGCTTTTTTCTATTCATTTTTTACCACTTTTGTTACTCCAAAAACGAAGATATTATTCTGGATATAGACAGACTCTCACTACAATTTCTTTGTGATTTAAGTTTTTGCCAACTAATGGCACTAAATAAAAAGGTGCGTCTTATAGTAGGGTTTCACTGTCAATAATTTACGTGGTAGAGCTACACTGCAGCTATATTACAGTTGTAGCACGAATGGGTCGGCTCGTAAGGGCCAGGACCACGCTCTCAGAGAATATCAACGTAAGAGCAGCGTAATTAATGCTCCTGTGTTTCCTATGGTGATGGTGAGTGTAGAGAACTGGAGACCCTTTTTCCTGGAATAAAGGGATTCCATCTGAGTCCACAAAGGTGATAACACATTTGCATTTTGATTACTGTTTGATGATTTGATTATTATGGATAAATGTGGATAGCTATGGGCCACAGCATACACTTACCATCAGATCGACTGTATGCTCGTTTGTCACCCAATGCTATAAAAAAATAATGACCTTGAATGCGGGTTATTCAGTGATTAAACTTTTCGAATAAGTATGTATTTCTAACTATAAGTATTAAGTTTTAAACTTAAAGACATTTCAGACAAGACTTAAATGTTAAAAAATAATGTGTTATTTATTATAAGTAACTATATTAAATTTAACTATAATTAAATTTATTTATAATTTAATTATAAAAAAATTATAATAAAAATAATTATTATATAATTGTCACAATAAAAAAAACTGTTTCAAAAAGTGTTTAGTGAATTCATGTACTCATGTCATATATAAAGTAATATACCATGAGAAATAATCTAAACATATTTGATTTTAATTAATGATTTTTTTAACTTAATTATGAAATATAGCTTAAGATCCAGTGGGCGGCCGACTTATGGCATTTCAATAAGCTTCATATTTTTTTTAGTTAATCTATATTTTATAATCCGTAACTATTATTAATTGGAAACAATATGAAACAATAGTATTTACTTTCAACTAGCTTGCCAGGCAGACGTTGTTCTGCCCTTTTCCATGACACTTTATCATATCCTATTAAAAATCCTTAAATTAGCAAAAAAATTGTGGATCACTTATGGGCAAAAAAACCATCCTATCTCTCAAGTTGGACCAACCTACAGACGGTGTGCAAATTTGATTAAAATCGGTTAAGTAGTTTAGGACTCCATCGCGGACAAACAACGTGACACGTTATTTATATATGTACAACATGTAACATAATTAACGCACTTTGAGAATGTAGTTTGTTCAGAATCGTTTACTCCTATAATTTTTAATATAGGTAACTTTTTATCCCAAAAATAATTAAAACTACGTAAATTACAGTCACACTAAATCTGTACAGTCAAAACATACTGAAATGGACCGTAACTTAAGGCAATAAGATTTTTAAGAGTGCAGTTTTATTTGTATTATTACTAATTCTGTCATTCAATAAAAATAAAGAAAAATGAACTTTATTTCAAGCAGGTTAAAGGCTTTGCGTTCGTGGATATGTACTGTGACTGCAACATTCTTCCGGAATAAGTATAACTAATTTGATAAATAATCAGTGCATAAAAATGTTTAACTAAAAATTCAGTGTATGTATTATGATTATAACATAATATACTAATTGGGGTGTCTGAGGGTGTGCGTTAATTACGTTACATATTGGATATTAAGATTAATTAGGATTAATGTAGTGTGATTGGATTAGAGCGAGTGCCATAGTACGTGCTTATGAACGCCTCAGAAGTTTGTTGTCTGCCTGGGTGATAGAACCACAATAATATGTCTGTCATGAAAATTGTACATGTCAAATATTATCAATACATATATATATATATATATCGGTAACTTCTAACTTCTATTGAATATTTCTAGATGTCAAAGCGGCAGACTTATTGCTATCATGTTTTTTCGGTTATTTTTTTACACCTTTAACATCTGACCGCCGGTCAAACTCAAGAGTCCCCATTTCATGTACCTCAGGTATAGGAAATGAAATGAAATGAAATGAAATGAAATATTTATTTGCTTTTGGTTAAGGTACACTGAAGATGGTGGTATTAATTAAACATCCGCTTAATCAGCCATTATTTATGGCATGCAAATCTTACAAATATAAAATAATGCGATAGTAATATTTATGAGTAAAATGTCTGAAATAATAAAACGTCAACAATTAATCAATAAATAGGTAATAGGTACTTAATAAATATTTTACAATTGGTCCAGCAAGTCCATATCAGTCCAGCCGCTATCACATATCGCAGTTCAAATATTCCTCTATAGTATAAAAAGACTTTTCGCTGAGCCCTCTGTATAACTCTCTTTTAATTTTAATTACAGGTAGGTCTTGAATTTCTTATGGTATCTTATTATATACTGTCATACACATCCAATAGCAATTATTATGGAATCTCGCGCTCTTGGGTATTATGGTGGAAACCAACCTATTCCTATTTCTAGTGCCTCGTTTGTAAAAGTCTTTGGCTTGTGTGAAATAATACATATTATTTTTTACAAATTTCGCCGTTTCAAAAATATATAGACAAGGAAGTGTTAAAATTTTCAAGGACTTAGGCTGACATGGCTCGTTAGGTACAGTACCACATATAGCTCTAACACACTTTTTTTGTGCAATGAACGCCTTTTTTTATATCTGTGCTATTACCCCATATAATGAGTCCGTATCGCAGGACTGATTCAACGTAAGCAAAGTACGCAGTAAGGGCTGTTCTCTTTCCTGCTATTTTTGTTAATTTATAAATTGCAAATGCGAAACGATTTTATTGCACACTTTTTCGACTTGTTGTTTCCAATCTAGTTTTTGGTCAATTTCTATACCCAAGAATTTCGTTGTTATTGTATTTTTTAGTATTTGTCCTTCATAATTTATATTCAATGTCAAATTTTGTATATTATTAAAGTTAATTAAATTCGTTTTGTCAATATTAATAATTAAATTATTATTTCTAAGCCAATTAATTATTTGAATTATAGTTTCACTGATGTCATTTTTGTGGTCATTTAATGTTAGTTTTTTATCAGTTGTCACTATTACAGATATATCATCAGCGAATAGGATACATCGATACTTGGTCACATTTGGGAGATTATTAATATAGATCAGGAATAGGAGAGGTCCCAGGATACTTCCTTGTGGAACGCCAAACTCGTTTTTCCTAAACTCAGATCTGTGATTTTCAGCTACATGGTTAGAGTCAAGTTTTGCGATTTCGACTGATTGCATTCTATTCTGTAAGTATGTTTTGATCAAGTTCAAAGCAGTGCCTCTAACGCCGTAGTGCTCCAACTTTGCTAGAAGTTGATCATGAGAAACAAAATCGAAAGCTTTCGACATATCAAAGAAGAGCGCCGTCGTATATTGTTTGGCGTTTAGTTGTGTAAGGGTTTCATTCACTAAGTTATATACCGCATGTGTAGTGGATTTACTTTTCCGAAATCCATATTGATTGTTTTGGAGTACCTGATATTTATCAAAAAACGATGTAAGTTTTTCATGTATAACCTTCTCATACACTTTGGATAGGATAGGAACCAGCGTAATGGGCCTGTAGTTATTTACGAGTGTTTTTTTTTACCCGTTTTAAATAATGGCTTCACCAAGGAGAATTTTAATTTGTCTGGAAATATCCCAGTTACCATTGACTGATTTATCAGAAACGCAAAAACAGCACCTAATTGTTTATTACATATCTTGATAATCTTTGTAGATACCTCGTCGTAGCCTTCTGAATTTGTATTATTCAATGATAAAATTATTTTTCTAACGTAATATTCGTCAATGGGGGTCAAATAAATAGAATTATTTAAAATGTCCTTAGGAGTTTCACGTAATATGTTAGCATTTTCTTTATTTGTCAATTCAATAAAATAATTGTTAAAAATAGACGCTATCTGAGTAGGTTCATTTATGACTTTGTTTTTATATTCAATGGAATCTATATAATTATTATACTGCGGTCTAGTGTCAATTTCTTCCTGTATTACTTTCCATGTAGCCTTAAAAATATTTTTGCTTTTTAATACGTATTTATTATTTGTTTGTATTTTTGCTTGGAATATACATTTCCTTAATAACTTTGAATAGGTGTAATATTTATTTTTGTTAATATAATTTCTTTTTTTATAATAATTGTACCGCAGGATTCTATTTTTACTGCAGCTTTTTTTAATACCCTTTGTAATCCATTGTAGCTTTGCTTTTGTATTTAGTCTGATTTTACAGACAGGAAAACAAAGTTTATAAAGTAAACAGAACCAGTCATGGAATTCATTGAATGCTACATTTGGTTCTTCCTCACTATATACTTCTGAGAATGTGATACATGCCAGGTATAATATGAATTTTTCAATATTTTCAGTAGAATAGCATCTCTTATAAATATGTATTTCTTTTGGTGGTACATTTTTTAACTTTGTCTTAAAACTAAGCACCTGAGCAGTGTCATGGTCTGACAACCAAAGTGGT